CCTCTTCTTTTTATTCTCAATCTTTAAACATTTTAGAAAAATCACCCAAAATACAAGAGTTTAAAATTAGTATTACTTAAGAAAAACTATTTATTATGTTAAACCACCAATCAATTCCTTATCCCAAGGTTTTCATTATTCTAATTTGGACATTCATCTTGTTCACCATTTTTTTTTTTTTCTTTTTTTTGCTCTTTTTCACTCTTGTTGGCGGTGTTATCCCATGGTAAATGCATATTTCATTCTCACAGACTGTGATTAACGAATGAAACAGAGCCCCTTTTCGGAGATGGAATTGTCCTATAACAATGAGTTTTGAAGAGGTTTATTAATAGTAACATTTTTTTTAATGAATAAAATGAATGTCCAATTAAAACAAATTCAGACCTTTACATTCGCAACCAAAAACCCATAACAATTTTAAGTTTTCAAAAATAATAATAATAGTAAATTCTTATAATAAGGGTGATTTTCTAAACTATTTTGTGATTTGATAACAAATTGAGAAATTAATGTTTCATATCAAAAATAGTAAAAAGATTGTTCTAAAACAAGGCTTTGACTTTTGAGTGTAAAACACAACCTTTGTGGTTGGACAACTGGTTTAAACCCTTCCTCAATTTTGATGGTGTGGGTACAAAAGGTGGGGCTAATTCCATTGATGTCCTCAAGTTTCCAAGCAATTGCTTGCTTGTGTGTCTTAAGGACTCCAAGTAATTTCTCCCTTTGTTCCTCACTTAAGTGTGCGGCGATGACGACAGGGCATTTGCCTTCGTCATCCAAGAATGCATATTCTAAGTGGTCGGGCAGTTTCTTTAGTTCGAGGGGGTGGTCGTTTTTCAAGTTTTGTTCATTTTTCTCCCCCTCAAACTCAATCAATACTTCGTTAGAAGCTTGATCAATCAGCGCATCCTCACAACTCTCGCATGCATCACTCACATCATTGTTGGCTTCTTTTAACAGACATGCTTCTTCAGTTACATGTCCATTTTCTTCCCCAAACAGATACCCTTCAATAGACTCAAAGGTATCAAGAAAATGACATCCTTGAAAGGAATCTGTGGGGTGTTTCATAACATCTGAGAGTCGGAAGGTGCATAGATCATCTCCGACTCTTAGAGTTAATGAGCCATCAGTGACATCAATCAAGGCCCTGGCGGTAGCCAGAAAGGGCCTTCCCAGAATAAGAGGTGTTTCCCTATCCTCTTCCATGTCCATTACTACAAAGTCGACTGGGAAAATGAATTTGTCAACCTTGACCAGGACGTCTTCAACAATTCCTTTCGGATATTTGACTGAGCGATCAGCCAGTTGAAGACACATCCTGGTGGGTTTCATTTCCCCAAGTCCTAGCTTCTCGACTATAGAGGAAGGCATCAGATTGATACTTGCCCCTAAGTCAGCTAGAGCATTATTGAAGTTGAAATTGTCTATAGAGCAAGGGATAGTGAAACTACCTGGATCCTTTAGCTTTTCGGGTATTGACCTCAGAACCACGGCCGAGCATTCTGCGTTCAAGTCCACGACTGAGAGCTCCTGCAGCTGCCTTTTGTTTGTCAGCAAGTCTTTGAAAAACTTGGCATATTTGGGCATCTCCGCTAAGGCATCCATCAGCGGCAGGTTGACGTGGAGTTGTTTGAGTAGGTCCAGGAATTTGTTGTACTTCCTGCTATCGTCATCATTTCTAACCCGTGAAGGAAACGGGAGAGAAGGTTTGACGATAGTGACCCTTGTGTTAGGGCGTGTTGGTTCCATGCTCTTCTCAGTTGGAGCATCAGTTTGTTTCTCAGGTTCCATGGTCGGGGTACCTTCCTCTTCCTTGTCTTTCTGCTCAGCCACTGTTGTTTGTCTCCCGCTTCGAAGAGTGATGGCTTGCACATGTTCACGGGGGTTTGGTTCCGTGGTGCTAGGCAAGTTGCCTGGCTGACGACCAGGAACATTGTTCTGATTAATTTGCATCATCAGATTTTTGATCTGATTGTCAGTGCTGGCCTTGTATCTTGTTATTTCCTCCCGTGTCCTTGCCAGTTCTGCTACCAACAAGCCTATCTCTGATGGCTGGGCAGCCTCCGTTTGTCGTTGGTGTGGAGGCACATAAGCTTGGTTGTTCTGTTGGGCCGGTGCACCTCCCTGGTTCCGACTCTGGAAGTTGTTGCTTTGATTGTTGTTGGAGTAGTTTTGATTACCTTGATAACCGCCGCGTGGAGGACCATTGTTGTAATCCCCCCCGCCATTGGTTACCTTGGTAATTCCTTCCTTGGAAATTCTGAGGAGGGTAGTTGGAGTTACCCCCCCGGTTGCCTTGATTCGCCCATGGCCCTTCTTGTTTTGTTCGGCCATACTCCAGCAGGTTCACCTCCCTGTTGTTGCTTAGATTACATTCATCAACTAATTGACATGAATTGGTCAAATGTGGACCAAAACATATCTCACAAGAGAGTACAAGTTCAGTTGAATGGGAAACAGGTGAAAAAGTATTAAATTGAGATGACTGTGGGACAGAGCTTGAGTTCCCGAAGTATCGGGATGATTGTTGATTCGGGACAGCACCGATGTTGTTGACTTGGTTGGTGTGATTGTTTTCATTCTTCAGATTCTTTACTTCCACGACCAACCCTTCAATCTTTGCTGTTAAGGCCGTGAGTTGGTCAACTTCAAGATAACCTGGTTTTGTTGCTGCTGGAGTTCTTTCGTCATACCAGTATCTTGCATTTGAAGTGACCTTCTCCACCAGAGCTTCGTTGGTGTTGGGTGCCATGTCAAGGAATGATCCCACCTGAGAAGAGAAATCAAGTTCTTTTTTGCTACTAACTTGAAGTCCATTGTAAAAATGGAACATCAAGCTACTAGAATCCATCAGTGTGAGTGGACATTTGTTTCTCATATCCTTGAAACGATCCCATGCTTCACTTAAGGACTCCATCGGGAATTGTCTAAAATTTTGAATTGCTGTTTTAATTTTAGCAACTGCCGATGGAGGAAAGTATTCTTGCATGAATGCTTGGTGCAGTGCCGCCCATGTTGTGAAGTGACCCGTTGGAAAGCTATTCAGCCACAAAGATGCCCTATCCCGTAATGAGAAGGGAAATAGGGTCAACTTTGCGGCGTCGGAGGTCACTCCGTTAAAGCGGAACGTTTGGCATGCTCGGGTGAACCACAACATGTGGGCCCTAGGGTCATCTTGCTTGGACCCGCCAAATTGATGATTGGACATCATGTTGACAATGGCGGGTTTGATCTCGAAATTGGCTGCCTCGATTGCCGGTGCGCTGATACTATCATCCTCGATGAAGTTTGGCGTAAGATTTTGCAACACCGTCCTTTCTCCCGCCATGCTTGGTTTCTTGTGGATTGAAAGATTTTTCCACAAAGTTCGTTCAGGTTCAGGATCAAGTTCAATTAGACCTTCCACTCCTTTAGAGCGGGTGTGCATTCATTTATCCTGAAATCTTTATACAAATTGTCGCAAGGGCGAAAAAGTCTCCCTAACTAGAATTCACCTATGCCAGAACTAAATCAAGAATTAATCGTGCCATTCCCCGGCAACGGCGCCATTTGATAACCGCTTTCGCGGCGTTGTAGTAAAACGGAGTCTAACCTTTCGGTTTTTCCCCGAGTGTCGTGTCTCTTGAGGAATGGCGGAGAAGTTTCTTAATTTAATTTTAGTCACGGGCTATCGCTAATTGTTGGAAGCTTTTTCAATATAGGAAAGTGATTTTGTTCTATATTACGCTAAATTATAACTAGGAGCAAGGTGCAATTTAAAGATTAATGTATAAATATTGAATATTCAAGGATGCAAATAAGGGCAATGAATTGAGTAATTAGAAATGGATATGTTCTTGGACCTCTTAATTAGGGAAATTAAGACTAAAGTTGGACTAATAATTTCTTTCCTCATAGACAAGAATAGAAACTATCTTCATTAATTTACCCTATTTCTAGGTATCATTAATGTGTTTAAAATGGTTGGCTTAAATTATATTCTAAACCCATAGACAAGGTAGAAATAATTTTCCAATACTTTAATTAATAAAAATAGCCAAATTCATTAACTAGTTAAACTCTTTATTTTAGCAATTGAATTTATTTCTCATAGACAAGATGTAAATCCTTTTCATTAAATTATCCTATTTCTAGGCCTTATTAATGTGCTCAAATATGGTTGGCTCAAATTAATTTCTAATCTCATAGACAAGTTAGAATTAATTTTCCAAGAATTTAATTAATGAAAATGGCTAACTATTATTAATTACTATTTCATCATTTTAAACAACTAGTCCAATTTATTAATCTTAACCCCTAATTTTAGGTCAACAAGTCAATCCATATTCCTTTTCTCAATTCATGCCCTAACAAATTTAGCTACTCATTATCATTTTTGCAATTAACAACATAATGATTAAATTCAACATTAACAAGGAATTAAACATGTATGATAGCAAACATCAAACAAAAATTATATTCTGGAACAATAAACTTGTAGGAACTAAAATATAACTTTCTGGAATTTTTCACCAATTTTTGAACCTAAAATCCAATTTTAACAACTAATTGATAATTTTCCCAATTTTAACAAAAAAAATGCAAAAAGCAACTAAAAATATGCTAACTTCGTTTTAAATTTTATTTTAGCTACTGGGAGTGATATTACTATGAATCAAACTGAAATTAAGGCCGAACTAATTTTTTTTTCATTTTTTCTAGTATTTATTCTAAATTATGAACTAATCTCAAATAATTACCAAAATTAATTAAAAATTACTTATGCTTCGTGAAAAATTAATTTCTTCAGATAAATAACTACCTTGAGGCTAGTGAACAACTATATAATTAATTGGAATGAATTCAACAACAATAACTATTTTATTTAATTTTTGGAAGTAAATGCGAAATACTTGAAAAATAATCTGGAAATTTTAGAAGAACAGATTGAACAAACAAAGTGCAGATTCAGATTCTACTCGTTGAGAAGATGAAAATACATATAAAGAACTTACAAATTGGAGCTAAAATGAAGAAGATATGAAGATTTGAAGTTTCTCTCTCTCTAAACCCTTTGGAGCTCGAAAATGGAGGAAGAAAGAAGGTGTTTTGAACTGATTTAGGGTTGGAAGAGGTGTGTTTGAGTTGAGGAAAAATCGGGCAATTTATAGGAAAAATTTCCCCGAAGGCGCCCGGGCAGGCGGCCGCCTTCCGGCAGCAACTGGCCGCCTGCCGTCAACTCGCTGGCAACGACACGTGGGCTGGTCTCCGTCAGCCGTAGGCGGCCATAGAAGGCGGCCGCCTTCCACCAAAATTGGCCGCCTTCCGTTGTCTTCACCGGCAGGTCGACGTGAGCCCGTCAACGTCAGCCGCAGGCGGTCCAGACGGCGGCCGCCTGCCGTTCCTGTCTGGCCGCCTGCCGTCAAGTCGCACCGGCCGGTGGTTGGCCTTGTCCCGTTGTGCCGCAGGCGGCCACGAAGGGCGGCCGCCTTCCTTCCTCCGTCGGCCGCTTTCTGTCTTCTACAGGTTCGGGTCAAACTGGAGCGTTGACTTTGATATACCGTAGGCGGCCAGCCAGGCGGCCATATTGGGCGCCTATTTGGGCGCCTGCCGCCAAATTCGTCTGATAAATCCCGCGTTTCTTGCTCTCCAAGATTGCCTTCTGGATCACCTTGATAAAATGCTTACTTCTTCCGGTATGACTTCATTTGTTACTCAGATTGACTCCTTTTGTGCTCAATTGACCCGAAATCCCGGCAAACATATTATGAATGTGATTTTCACCTGATTTCATGAAACTTGAACCAAAATATCTAAAACATGCCTTTTCTTTCTATTTTTATTCAAAAATCGCTTAAATTTGATAAGAAAAATAAGTACAAAAATGGACTTATCAATCTCCTCACACTTAAGCGTTGCTTGTCCTCAAGCGACGAATTAGTTGTAAACACACTCAAAAGGTAAAGTCTAACTGTATTACAATCTAATTGCTATTTTAAAGAAGTAGAAACAAAAACCTCTTCTTTTTATTCTCAATCTTTAAACATTTTAGAAAAATCACCCAAAATACAAGAGTTTAAAATTAGTATTACTTAAGAAAAACTATTTATTATGTTAAACCACCAATCAATTCCTTATCCCAAGGTTTTCATTATTCTAATTTGGACATTCATCTTGTTCACCATTTTTTTTTTTTTCTTTTTTTTGCTCTTTTTCACTCTTGTTGGCGGTGTTATCCCATGGTAAATGCATATTTCATTCTCACAGACTGTGATTAACGAATGAAACAGAGCCCCTTTTCGGAGATGGAATTGTCCTATAACAATGAGTTTTGAAGAGGTTTATTAATAGTAACATTTTTTTTAATGAATAAAATGAATGTCCAATTAAAACAAATTCAGACCTTTACATTCGCAACCAAAAACCCATAACAATTTTAAGTTTTCAAAAATAATAATAATAGTAAATTCTTATAATAAGGGTGATTTTCTAAACTATTTTGTGATTTGATAACAAATTGAGAAATTAATGTTTCATATCAAAAATAGTAAAAAGATTGTTCTAAAACAAGGCTTTGACTTTTGAGTGTAAAACACAACCTTTGTGGTTGGACAACTGGTTTAAACCCTTCCTCAATTTTGATGGTGTGGGTACAAAAGGTGGGGCTAATTCCATTGATGTCCTCAAGTTTCCAAGCAATTGCTTGCTTGTGTGTCTTAAGGACTCCAAGTAATTTCTCCCTTTGTTCCTCACTTAAGTGTGCGGCGATGACGACAGGGCATTTGCCTTCGTCATCCAAGAATGCATATTCTAAGTGGTCGGGCAGTTTCTTTAGTTCGAGGGGGTGGTCGTTTTTCAAGTTTTGTTCATTTTTCTCCCCCTCAAACTCAATCAATACTTCGTTAGAAGCTTGATCAATCAGCGCATCCTCACAACTCTCGCATGCATCACTCACATCATTGTTGGCTTCTTTTAACAGACATGCTTCTTCAGTTACATGTCCATTTTCTTCCCCAAACAGATACCCTTCAATAGACTCAAAGGTATCAAGAAAATGACATCCTTGAAAGGAATCTGTGGGGTGTTTCATAACATCTGAGAGTCGGAAGGTGCATAGATCATCTCCGACTCTTAGAGTTAATGAGCCATCAGTGACATCAATCAAGGCCCTGGCGGTAGCCAGAAAGGGCCTTCCCAGAATAAGAGGTGTTTCCCTATCCTCTTCCATGTCCATTACTACAAAGTCGACTGGGAAAATGAATTTGTCAACCTTGACCAGGACGTCTTCAACAATTCCTTTCGGATATTTGACTGAGCGATCAGCCAGTTGAAGACACATCCTGGTGGGTTTCATTTCCCCAAGTCCTAGCTTCTCGACTATAGAGGAAGGCATCAGATTGATACTTGCCCCTAAGTCAGCTAGAGCATTATTGAAGTTGAAATTGTCTATAGAGCAAGGGATAGTGAAACTACCTGGATCCTTTAGCTTTTCGGGTATTGACCTCAGAACCACGGCCGAGCATTCTGCGTTCAAGTCCACGACTGAGAGCTCCTGCAGCTGCCTTTTGTTTGTCAGCAAGTCTTTGAAAAACTTGGCATATTTGGGCATCTCCGCTAAGGCATCCATCAGCGGCAGGTTGACGTGGAGTTGTTTGAGTAGGTCCAGGAATTTGTTGTACTTCCTGCTATCGTCATCATTTCTAACCCGTGAAGGAAACGGGAGAGAAGGTTTGACGATAGTGACCCTTGTGTTAGGGCGTGTTGGTTCCATGCTCTTCTCAGTTGGAGCATCAGTTTGTTTCTCAGGTTCCATGGTCGGGGTACCTTCCTCTTCCTTGTCTTTCTGCTCAGCCACTGTTGTTTGTCTCCCGCTTCGAAGAGTGATGGCTTGCACATGTTCACGGGGGTTTGGTTCCGTGGTGCTAGGCAAGTTGCCTGGCTGACGACCAGGAACATTGTTCTGATTAATTTGCATCATCAGATTTTTGATCTGATTGTCAGTGCTGGCCTTGTATCTTGTTATTTCCTCCCGTGTCCTTGCCAGTTCTGCTACCAACAAGCCTATCTCTGATGGCTGGGCAGCCTCCGTTTGTCGTTGGTGTGGAGGCACATAAGCTTGGTTGTTCTGTTGGGCCGGTGCACCTCCCTGGTTCCGACTCTGGAAGTTGTTGCTTTGATTGTTGTTGGAGTAGTTTTGATTACCTTGATAACCGCCGCGTGGAGGACCATTGTTGTAATCCCCCCCGCCATTGGTTACCTTGGTAATTCCTTCCTTGGAAATTCTGAGGAGGGTAGTTGGAGTTACCCCCCCGGTTGCCTTGATTCGCCCATGGCCCTTCTTGTTTTGTTCGGCCATACTCCAGCAGGTTCACCTCCCTGTTGTTGCTTAGATTACATTCATCAACTAATTGACATGAATTGGTCAAATGTGGACCAAAACATATCTCACAAGAGAGTACAAGTTCAGTTGAATGGGAAACAGGTGAAAAAGTATTAAATTGAGATGACTGTGGGACAGAGCTTGAGTTCCCGAAGTATCGGGATGATTGTTGATTCGGGACAGCACCGATGTTGTTGACTTGGTTGGTGTGATTGTTTTCATTCTTCAGATTCTTTACTTCCACGACCAACCCTTCAATCTTTGCTGTTAAGGCCGTGAGTTGGTCAACTTCAAGATAACCTGGTTTTGTTGCTGCTGGAGTTCTTTCGTCATACCAGTATCTTGCATTTGAAGTGACCTTCTCCACCAGAGCTTCGTTGGTGTTGGGTGCCATGTCAAGGAATGATCCCACCTGAGAAGAGAAATCAAGTTCTTTTTTGCTACTAACTTGAAGTCCATTGTAAAAATGGAACATCAAGCTACTAGAATCCATCAGTGTGAGTGGACATTTGTTTCTCATATCCTTGAAACGATCCCATGCTTCACTTAAGGACTCCATCGGGAATTGTCTAAAATTTTGAATTGCTGTTTTAATTTTAGCAACTGCCGATGGAGGAAAGTATTCTTGCATGAATGCTTGGTGCAGTGCCGCCCATGTTGTGAAGTGACCCGTTGGAAAGCTATTCAGCCACAAAGATGCCCTATCCCGTAATGAGAAGGGAAATAGGGTCAACTTTGCGGCGTCGGAGGTCACTCCGTTAAAGCGGAACGTTTGGCATGCTCGGGTGAACCACAACATGTGGGCCCTAGGGTCATCTTGCTTGGACCCGCCAAATTGATGATTGGACATCATGTTGACAATGGCGGGTTTGATCTCGAAATTGGCTGCCTCGATTGCCGGTGCGCTGATACTATCATCCTCGATGAAGTTTGGCGTAAGATTTTGCAACACCGTCCTTTCTCCCGCCATGCTTGGTTTCTTGTGGATTGAAAGATTTTTCCACAAAGTTCGTTCAGGTTCAGGATCAAGTTCAATTAGACCTTCCACTCCTTTAGAGCGGGTGTGCATTCATTTATCCTGAAATCTTTATACAAATTGTCGCAAGGGCGAAAAAGTCTCCCTAACTAGAATTCACCTATGCCAGAACTAAATCAAGAATTAATCGTGCCATTCCCCGGCAACGGCGCCATTTGATAACCGCTTTCGCGGCGTTGTAGTAAAACGGAGTCTAACCTTTCGGTTTTTCCCCGAGTGTCGTGTCTCTTGAGGAATGGCGGAGAAGTTTCTTAATTTAATTTTAGTCACGGGCTATCGCTAATTGTTGGAAGCTTTTTCAATATAGGAAAGTGATTTTGTTCTATATTACGCTAAATTATAACTAGGAGCAAGGTGCAATTTAAAGATTAATGTATAAATATTGAATATTCAAGGATGCAAATAAGGGCAATGAATTGAGTAATTAGAAATGGATATGTTCTTGGACCTCTTAATTAGGGAAATTAAGACTAAAGTTGGACTAATAATTTCTTTCCTCATAGACAAGAATAGAAACTATCTTCATTAATTTACCCTATTTCTAGGTATCATTAATGTGTTTAAAATGGTTGGCTTAAATTATATTCTAAACCCATAGACAAGGTAGAAATAATTTTCCAATACTTTAATTAATAAAAATAGCCAAATTCATTAACTAGTTAAACTCTTTATTTTAGCAATTGAATTTATTTCTCATAGACAAGATGTAAATCCTTTTCATTAAATTATCCTATTTCTAGGCCTTATTAATGTGCTCAAATATGGTTGGCTCAAATTAATTTCTAATCTCA